CATTAATGGTTCTCTATGTAACCGATGAGCAAAACTACAGTGGACCACTCAAAATGCCATTATAGGTCCTCTGAAAATCCACAATATAATGTTTGCGTGCACACTGTTAGAACGAGTGTGTGCATTCACGTTATGACTCAAATTTTGCTTTTATTTTGATTTTTTTTTTTTTTAAATCTTATATAAGTATTTTCAATATTTAATTATATACATTATACATTAATTATTAAGTCAAATTCACCTTCCATTTACACGTTTGGATTTCTTTGTTTGTGCATTCCATGCATTTTGAGTCATATACAATAAATAGAGTTTCATTCTCACTAAAATTCAGATTATCGTTTGACACACTGATTGCATAACCTCCTACAGGTTTTCCTGATTGGCTAGAAGAATATTTAATATTAACTGGGACTGTTGGTAGAAGACAACTTATTTCAGCAAAGCTTAGAAGCTGCCCTTGATCATTTCGTGGTTTTCCTAATTTCTTATACGACTTTTCAGATATCTTTACAAAAATAAAAATAAAAATAAAAAAAAATTAAAAGTGATAATTAAAATTAAATAATGCATTTCATAAAAAAGAAAATAATTTCAATAAACAGTGTCTTTTTTGAATTGCATTTGTTATTACTTTATTAAACTATTTTTATTGTACATTAAATTAACATTTTGTGATTACTTAATCATAAAACCCTTTTATTTTTTCTTAATACTTAAGCTTTAGAGTGAAATTAATGATAACAAAAACAGATGGTATTAAACATTAAATAATTTTATAAAGTAAGAAAATGTTCTGTAGCAAATTTATTCAATAATCTTAAGGAGAATAATCTTAAGGAGAATAATCTTAAGGAGAATAATTTTAAGGAGAATAATCTTAAGGAGAATAATCTTAAGGAGAATAATCTTAAGGAGAATAATCTTAAGGACAATAATATTAAGGGGAGAAATACACACTAGAAACAATAAAACTAGTTTTATATGTATTTAGGTCAAGCAAAAAGTCTGCTTATGTGCAAGGCACTAAAATTTAGTTTTAAAAGCTTTTATGTTTAACTCTTATAAATTAATAAATCAACATTTTACCACCCATTTTCATGCAAGTGAAAAATACTTTAGGTGATTTTAGGTATAGACAATGTTCATCATTATACTAATATATGCAGTCTATGAAATAAATTTCATTATTTTTTGTCAAGTCTGAGAAAAGTATTTGTATAAATTTATACAAGTATATACTACTCTAAGGTTTATTATTGATTCTTAATTTGACTTTTGAACAGTGAAAACATTTAACTATTAAACAAGTTATAAATATAAATTATAACTAATCACTTACTCTAGGTATTTATATTATTCCTAGTACATTTATTTTATACATATATTTAAAACTATAGTCACTTTAGAGCTTTTTCTTACAAAATAATATTTTTGGAAGCGAAAGGAGTTACAAAGTAATCATTTCCTATAAGTAGCTTAGAGAACATATTAGAAATGTTATTTCTAATATACTGTTGCTTTTTTTTTTAACATACTTAATTCCCAGCAAACATGCTATAGTGGACTTTCAGTGGTCTTACATTGGCATTCTGAGCAAACCACTGTAGATTTTTTTTTTAATCTTGATTCACTCCCAACAAGGCTGCAAGCAACCACTATTAGTTGCTTGCGGCCTTGTTGGGAGTGAATCAAAATTAAAAAAAAATCTACAGTGGTCAGAATGCCGACTATTAGAAAGAGGCTCAACTTAGCAGATAGAATGGATCCAACTAAGTTTACAATGCATTTTTGGACCTTGTCTAGAAGAGAAAGAGCATTATTAGAAGAACAAATCAAATAAAAAGAGAAACAACCTTAGCAAATGCTAATTAAGCAATCGATTGTATATATGGTTTCAATGAAAGGTCAGTAGTAAATGATAATTCAAGGAGATTTAAAGAAACGGACTCAGTGAGAGAGTTACCAATCATTAATATAGGAATGTTTACAGTACAGTAAGTTGTTTGCAGTAAAAAACTGAGTTTTGTTGGAGTTAAAATTTATAATCCACTGTGAGCCCCGAAAAAGAGAAAAGAGAAGACTTTTTGTCAAGACAAGAGTATAAAGTTGAGTCATCAGCAAAAAGAGCTACTTTAGATGTAAGGTTATCTGGAAAATATTAATATAGATAAGAAACAAAATAGGACCAAGGATAGAATCTTGAGGTACCTTGAGGTAGTGTTAGCAAAAAACGATTCGAATATCTCAAAAACTTTCCCAGATACATCATATGAAACAAGCTTATGGAGAAGACCAGCCAATGACCATGCCAAACTTTGTTGAAAGCTTTAGATACGTCAAGAGCAACAGCCATAGAGCAAGAGAATCGAAAACTGTCTGACGGCAAGTTTTTTTTGTTTTTTTTTTACTTTTGACTTAAGATGGGATGTGAGATATTTATTTAACAAAGACTCAAAGACCTTGCTAATAATAGAAAGAAGACTGATTGGACAATAATTGGAGGGGTCAGAATGCTCACCAGAGTTTTTGAAAATTGGAACAACAGATACCATTTTAAAGGAGCCAGGAAAACAAGACTCAGTCATGCACTTATTAAACAGTTAAGAGAAAATTTAAGAGAGTTCTGGAGAAAAATATTGTAAACTGTGACAGGGATTGTTGTCTGGACCACTCGTCGTAAAAGAGTTGAATCAAGATATGACTTGAGCAACAGAAGCTGGAGTGATTTGAATGTCTAACAATGGGTTAACCAGTTTTATAATTTTGCTTATTGGTTACTTAGTGGACCATTAGTGGTGGCTGGCAAAAGTGGCTAGTCGATGACAAGGCACTATTAAAACATCAGAGAGTTATCAACATGCCATTTGTAGAAACTGCCACTAACGATCAACTAAGATAACATGGTAAAAGATAACAGATAAGCAAATCCACTGCAAAAATCCACCACAAATCCACTAAAACAATCCACAATTCATTTTCTTGGTAATTGCAACCACCAATCATTTTCTTTGTAATTGCAAACAAAAAGAAATCTGCCCACTTAATAAATATTGTAAAGCAACAAACATAATATACAAGTGCATAACATCTTGCTCAAACACACACAGCAAAGCATACATTGAGTTTATTAGAGGGTGTGTGGAAAAAAGAGATATGCTAACCATCATTTAAAAATAAAAAACTTTCAAATGCAACTACTCTCTTAAAATATATTTGGGAAGCTTGGGAAAAACTCAAAGAAACACCTGAACTAACTTGGTCTTACCTAAAAAGAGCTCCTGCATGAAACAACACAACAAAATATGTTTACTTTGTTCATATGAAAAACTAATAACTTTACTTTATAAAAATGCCAAAGAGCTACTAAATAAAAAAACAGAGTTGATTTTCAAATATCGTCACGAAAATAAATTTCTATAAAGTTACCAGAAACCTGAAGATTAGATACACATGCTAGTAAAAATAGTTTTTCTGTGTAGTTTTTTAAACTATTTGTATTTCACCTGATGATTGCATTAGCATAAAACTTAAAAATGTGAAAATCATGCATTTTAATTTTTGACTATATCATAGTGATGACTGAGTTCATCAAGCATATACATATATATCTATATGGCTGTCTTTAATTTTTATCATAAAATATAAACTATGTTTTATTATTTTTTTAAACAAATTTAAAAAATCAGAAAAAGTTTTACATCTTAAATTTTTTTTTTAATTGTACATTGCCTGTCCAACCAAAACCATTCAGTTGAAGTAGCAGCACTTTTTTTTTAATCTTTAATTGTAAACTTTCTAAAAACCTAACAATGGTTAAAGTTCCTTTTCTAATTTTTTAATGTTCTTATTCTAGGATTTTCATCTTGCAGTTTTAATATTATAGTTAATCAGCAGTTGATTTATTCAGATAATGACATTATAAAATTGATTACAAATTAGTTAAAATTGCAAAATGATGCAATGAAAAATAAAATAAAAAACTACTACTGTAATTTAAAAAAATATATTTTACCTTCACTTCTGTCATCCTACATGATAGAGAACTAGAATCAATAAAGTCTTTTCCTATGACACGAGTACGAACACAATCTTGATCTCTGATATCACAAAGTCCTGAGTTTGGTATGCCAAATAAAATAGGAGATTGCCCTAGTCACATTTAATTTTTATCTTTTAAATGGATAAATAATTTTTTTATGAAAACATTTACATTTTTGAATTATTTAATATTTAAATAAGCATAAATCATTTATAATAATAGATTTAAATATTTATAAAAAAACCTTCTTTCATCGAGCAGTCCGCTGTAATAAAACCCGCATTACAGCTGCATGTACCGTTTTTACATATTCCATTCATATTACATTCATTCGGACACAAGTTTTCTGCAATTTTTGTTGGGGGTCCAGTTATGTTTCCATCTGCATTTTTCCAGAAAGTTAAATCTCTTAAAGTGAGTTCTTCACATGCACTGACTAAACTATTTATAGCAGATTCAACACCCATCTTTTCACTGTCTGTTACCTTTAAACAAATTATCATAAACTATTTATAGCAGATTCAACACCTACTCTTTCACTGTCTGTTACCTTTAAAGAAATTATCATAAATCTTAAAACATAAAACTAAATTGTTAATGTTTATGTAAACATTAGGACTATCAAAACTACATAAGACCACTGTACTATACTACAAATTATAACTATTGATAGTTAATAGTATGGAGGTTATAACTTGTAGTTATAATTATAAACTATAATTATAATTACTAAATATGTTTTAAGTAGTTACACAGAGGTTATATTTTTTCTTTTCAAGTAGCTGACACATAGTTATAACAACTTTTTTTTATATTTAACTGATAAAAATTAAAATTATATCATACCTCCAGGTAATTACACTTGCTTTATTTTATACAGGATTTATGAAAAATTTATTTTATAAAAAGCTATTTAACTACTTTAGTGGTAGTGAACAGTTAAAAAACTAATTACATTCTAATGTAAAAATGTAGCTAAGATTACCTAAGTCGAGAAGTAATTTGCTAGAAATTACCTTTGGCTGGAATTGGCTAGAAATTGCAACTACAATTGCAATAGTTATCATAGACTTTAGACATAACACAAATAAAACTTTATTAACCAAAATCATTAGATCGACATTAAAAATAATTACTGATAAATATTTTTCCTTTATTTATTTTTCTACTTTAATTTATAATAAACTTATTAATAAATATAAATATTTTTTAATTATATATTATATTTTCTTTGCTATATTTTATATAATTTTATTTTATTTTATAATAAACTCACTTGAATATCAATCACACATTGTTTCTCATATTCATCTGTTGAAAATGTATTTCCAATGAAATCAATGCAAGCCTTGCCTGCAATTGAATTTCGAATTTTGTTCTTGCATTCACCTTTTGCTCTATCTTCAGTGATTCCAGATTTTGTAGGAAAAGAATTAGTATTACTACCAGAAAGTTGAGCAGGATTGTAATCATAAACTCCTGTATTACCATCATCAGGAAGTACAATGACATTGTCAGATATTGATCTGCGTTTACGACGCCCACAATTCTCAGCACCTGAAAAATAAGTTATTTTTAGAAAAAAAAACTTAAAATTTAGAAGCCTCAGCAATTGCTTAGAATAAAACCATAAAAAAAAATAAGGCTTACATAATATGTAAATAACATAGTATATATATGAAGTGCAATTGTTAACAAACCAACTGAGTGCATATACAACATATAATATCATATCATATATTAACATATATACAACATAGTATATGTAGGAAATTATTACAAAAGCTATTGAGTACTTTAACTCCAAAATTTTATTAAGTTAATAAAAAGTATGAATAACTACAAACTCAAGTAAAAGAAAACAATATGGAGACTTTTTTAGGTTGAGAGATAAAATAGTTCACATTTCATATTTACCCAATGGGTCTTCATTTTATCTTATATGTCCCAAATATTAGTTTATGGGTCCCAACAAATTCCCCATGGATCTTAATGATCATTCCATGACTTTTAGTTATTAAAACCATCTTAACATTTTTTTCCCATGAAACGTAACCAAGAATGTTAGCATTGTTTTAAAAAAAATTTAATTTTATATCTGGGACATAGTACAACCATGTCCCAGATATAAAATTTAGCTCATGTGTAGATATGTGTCTGAAAAAATAAACCAATTGCTACCTAATTGTTTTATTCTGTAAAGTTTAAAATGTATCTATATCTGATAATATGAACACGCTTAGTCGAGTTACGTCATTTTCTAGGCTTTTCTATTTTAAAGTAGTTTCTAGGCTTTTCTTTTTATACGCGTTTTTTTTTTTTTAATTTTATTTACTAACAACGCGTATTACGGGTTGCTTACTGCTAGTATAATATAAATACATTTTTATCTATATTTTGTATTATCATTCCTGCTGTTTTACTATGTTTTCTTCAAGTGCAGTTTTTAACTGTTGTTGTTTAATTGCATTTTATTATTTAAAACATTTATATAGTATACAAAGTGTGGAAATATTTTTTTTTTAAACAATATTTCCACACTTTGTATACTATATAAATGTTTTAAATAATAAAACAGGGAAAAACAAAGACATAAAAAACATAATTAATATCATCTTTCAAGCATTACTCGATGAGTGAAATATTAAAAAAATGTGAGATATCAAGATGCATTTTGAACCGAATCAAAGACAAATTGAAAAATGGCCTCCTATTAGGTATTTAGAGGCAAGGCAAATGTGGTCAAAAAGAGAAAATAACACCAAGGAACGAGAGAAAGCTAGTGACAATAGTGAAATAAAATAGATTTGCTACATTCTCAGCAATTACAAGCAAGTTGAATGAGGTGGGACTAAATGTAGCAACAATCACTGTTTAACATTTTGACAAGTTTGCATGAATTTGGCATCAGAATTAGAGGACCAGCACAAAAGCCAAAATTAACCAACTCTCAGAGAAAAAAGTACCTGGATTAGGCAAGAAGTACAGTTGTTTCACTGTTAATGACTGGAAATCAGCAAGTCATTATAATACAAAAATAAATTTTTTTTTCTGTAATATTAGTGTTGGCGTTTAGAGATGTTTTTATTCTGTTTTCTCCTGCGATGAGTCAACTATAGAAATTATGACTCAAAAGACTCATTATGTGAAAAGAGCTTCCAAAAAAAAAATCATGAAGATTGTATAATTCAGACAATTAAACACCCTCCTAAAGTCATGTTTTGGTCGGTTATTAGTGGAAAAGACCTTGGTCAACTGCATATAGTGGATGGAATATTGAAACAGGACCAATACAAAAAAGTCATTAAAAGCTATCTTTTACTTCAATTGAAAAAATGGTTTCCAAATAAGCAGAAGAAATTATTTATGCAAGATGAAGCACCATGCCACATCACAAAATCCATTAAAATTATTGGCATTTCTAAAAACTCCACTTTTGAATTGGCCAGGTAACTCCCCAGATCTTAACTCCATAAAAAATGTATGGGAGCTGTTAAAGAGAAAGTTATTTGGCATTGGAACCATAACGCACATATGAAAGAAATGGCTTTAAATTGCATTAATAGAATGCAGAATCATCTTGGTGCAGTTATGAAAATAAGGGAGGATTAACAAAATATTAAAAATTCATGTTAATAAACATATTCTTATTGTTATTTTGTGTATCTTATGTTAGAAAACAGTTATACTTGATTTATATATAAAGTTTTTATCTGTATTTTTATAAAAGCATAAGTTATAGCTCTAAGAAGATAAAAAATACAAAAAATATCAGTGGTCTAATAATTTCAACAAGGACTGTATGTAAATAAAATGCTCTGTATGTAAACAAAATGCTCTCTATGCGAATAAAATGTTGTATGTAAACAAAATTAAAAAAAATTAAAAAAATTTTACCAGGAAATTCTAATTTTTTCCATCCAACCATGCCATTTAAATATTTTGGCCGGTCTGCATACCCTTCAAAATCACAACTGACTTTTCGTTCATTCCCACAACATGATTCACTACAAACACAGTAAGTCTTTGCTCGTGTTGCTGTACACTTTCGAGGCCCTCCTTTGAAGTAAAACAAACTCTCCTCAGAATTCAATCTATGATAACCAAAACAAATATCAAAAATAATACAATTAAAAGACAATAAAATGAAAATAAACTTAGTTTTATTTGAAAAAAAATTAAAAAAATTAAAAAAATGTACTTCCAACTTTCAGTAAACTTGTTTTGGTCATTGGTTGAAGATTGTTCACCTCTTGGGATCCTTTCATTGCCTTTGTTATTATCAAAAGTCCCACATAAGCCTTGTGTACTTTGAAAATCATCGGAAGGTACTTGGACATCGATGTTAGCATAATAAAAATTAGCATACCAATGAAAAGCATCAAATTTAACAAAAGCACCAGAAGGAAAAGTAATCTTTAAATAAATTTTTAAAATCACAATAAATTTATAAGGATTCCTATAACAACTAATATAATAAATTATAAACAATGCATATATATATATATACATACAAATATATTTAAATATATTAATTTATATATATTTATATATATATATTAATTTATATTTAATATATATATATATATATATATATATATATATATATATATATATATATATATATATATATATATATATATATATATATATATATATATATATATATATAAATATATATATATATATATATATATATATATATATATATATATATATATATATATATATGTATAAATATATATATATATATATATATACATATATATATATACATATACATATATATATATATTAAAAAATATTATATTAAATTATATATATATGTATATATATATATATATATATATATATATATATATATATATATATATATATATATATATATATATATATATACAGTGCTTGAAGTGGGAAAAAAAGGTTGCGGGATTGTTTTTAATATTTTCTAATCATCATCCCACCTATCCTAAAATTGTAGATTTCTTATTTTTCGTAGATTAAATAAAGGAATTATAAATCCCTAGAGTATCCCTATAGTAAAAAACCTATATTAAAAAAGAAAATAATTTTACAAGCCTTTTCGAGTGCAACTGATAGTTGTTTTTTTTCTTTTGTTTTGCCATACTCCTTAACGTTGCCAAGCGTTCACTCGCTAGCCAATTTTATTCCTTGAGATTTTTCGGCACCTTAATTATTTGCTGACTTACAAACAGAACAACCAAGAGCTGTTAATGAAACTGTCAACCAGTCAAATGTTTTTAATTTCTCCTTCCACTGTAAATCAGACCAGTAATCTGGAAAAATACCATCACATTGAGGAAAGGATTGGCAAGTTTCAATACTCGAAAAATCTTTCACTTCTTTATTTATTTCAGTGTCATTTACCAAATTACTTTTAGAACTATCACTGCTTAACTTTCTTTTCCTTCCGCTTGCTAGCCATTTATCCATATTTATAATAAGTAATTTTTTTTTTAAATCATAACATTTTATGTTAAGTAAATCTACTGTGTACTATATTTTATTTCACTAAAAAAAACTCTAATGATACTTTAACGAAAAAAAAAGGCAATGTAGTTTTTTGTTGCTTGGTAACTTTTTATTTAAAATACAAAAGAAAAGACGCAATGTTTTATAATTATCGATTTAGTTTTTGAACTTTCTACATATACATATATATATATATATATATATATATATATATATATATATATATATATATATATATATATATATATATATATACATATACATATATATAGGAAAATATAGCAAGATAGTGAATGGGGCAAGGTGGCTTATCATTTAACAAATCAAACAAAAAAACTTCTTACAACAAATCTGTATTTACATCTCATATTTTAAAATGCCAATTTTTAAAATATGAGATTTAAATTTTTGTTTTTTTAAAATATTATTAATGCAATTCTATAGGCATAACTTTATTTACTCATCACAGATGGTGTCCTTTGGGTGTAACTTTTTTAGAATTATTTTGGCGTTGCGTATTTGTTTTGTGTTACTTAAGTTTGAATAGTTAGTAGTTTTTAAAACTTTAAAAAATTGGTGGCAGAAATTGCATAACAAGTATATTTCTATGGTCATGTGACCAAATAATAATTTTATAAACTTTTTATTTTAATTTTAATTTCAAAATTTTTTTACTTGTAAACTGAAAATTCATGCAGGCAATGAATCATTATGATAACATAAACATACTGACAAAGCTTTATTGCTTTATGACTGTTAGTTATGCAATAACTCAGAGCTGTCAAAACATTGTCCATCTTGCCCTGTCTTGCCCTATATATAAATGAATATATATATAATATATTACACGTCTTTAATATTTATTAGTATATAACAATTTTTTTAAGATTTTTTATTGGTATAATAGTATATAACAATTATTTCAATGTATTTTTAACTTGTTAGTTTTGCTTAGTTTATAATGACCATACTTGGTTAGATTTTCTAATTTTTATTTCACAAATTTTATTTGAGTTCCTCCTCCTCTTAATAATACAAAATCAATGGGATATAACATCCCTAAGTACTAAGTAAACGTGTTTCTGTTTTTACTATCTGAATCAGGTTGATATACAAGCACTCCACTCAAGCCTCATTCTACTCCATATATTTCACCTTCTGCTATATCTAATTGTAATCATTTTTTTTATATTTTCATAACAACAACTCCTATGAAAACCAGCACCTAATTATTGTTTCTAAAAATTGTTGTAAAAAGGGGTTGTCTGATGCTAAGCTCTATCAATTCACTAAATCTCGTATTGTATTTCAGAAGTTAGGTTAGAGTGACATTTAGAAAATTTTTAACAGCCTTCCTAATGTAGGTCTAACACTCTATCTCTGCCTTATGGGAATAATCTTGATATGATTTGCAAAGAACTTTTCTTCTAATTTAACTCTTGAATCTTATGGCCATACCTCCTCCTTCCTCCTTCTTTTCCAATTAAACAGGTTAACTCATTGTTAGACATTCAAATTACTTGAGCTTTTGTTATTAAAATCAAATATCAATTAAACACTTCTACACCTTGTGGTCCAGACAACATTCCTGTCATAGTCTTATAAAGTGCTTGACTGAATCTTGTTTTCCCACCTGGTTGAAAATGGCATTTGTGGTTACCATTTTTAACTACGGGGAATAATCTAACCCCTCCAACTATCTATTATTAGTAAGAGTTTTTGATCAATAAATTTCTAACATCCCAATTTGATTCAAACAAATTACTGTCAATAATCAATGTAATTTTCGATCGTCTCGCTCTAGGGCTTACTTGCTAAAAACTGTGAATAAAGGATTTTATTGTGCATTAGATGGAGTTAGTAAAGCTAGGACTATTGCTCTTTTCATTTTCAGTAACTTAACGGGTACATCAAAATTTTATCATCGATTCTGTTTTATTCCTCATCTACATTACTAATCTTCCTGACAACCTCACATCTAAATTAGCTCCAATCGCTGTCAACTCAAATTCATACTACTGTCTTGACAAAAAGTCTTCTCTTTTTGCTTAGATTAGGACAAAAAAGATTAAAGCTTGAAGTGGCTGGTGAATTTTAATTTAAACAAAACTTCACTACAACTACCGCAATATTGTTGGCATCTTATTTGTCTAGTTTTTTTTCCCATTTTAACCCTATGGAACTTTCTCCCATTTTCATATTTTCCTTACTCATAAAACCTACAATTTTTCAAGTCTTCTTTTAACCATTTCCTTGCTCTTTAACTCTATTCATTTTTTTCTAGTAACTCCCAACTTAATAGTGATTACTTGCAGTCTTGTTGAGAGTGAATCAAAATCAAAATCAAAAATAAAAAACAAACTGTAAAAAGCTAAAATAAAATATTTTAAACTCTCACAAAAGTGACCTACATTGTGTCACATGACACATGCATTGTGCCTATTGAAGACACATGCATATTGATATGCAAGTTGTCTGACTGTTTTTGAGCCAAACCGTGATGATGACCCTTGATGGCCATTGGGTTGAAATCTTTCGCCTTTCTGCTGACAAATGTGCTTCTTACATAACTTTGTGGATTCAGGCTGGCATGGAATCTTTTATTCTCTCTCTACAATTCCAGGTCAAACCTCACTCTTCTCCATGGTTTTCCTCACATTGTGCTGCTTCAATTTCCCATCAAAACCATTACTTCCACATCTATCAGCAAAAAACCTCTTGTATGATTCAGACTTGATCACCCCACCTAAAAACAAAGCTGAATTGTTTGCTAAGAACTTTTTATCAATATCATTTTGATTCCGCTAGTTGCATTCTACCTGATTTAGCTGTCAAACAGGTTGATCCATTGCTTGACATTCGTATCACTTAGCATCAAAAGTTATTTCCTGCTTGGACTCTTCTACAGCTCGGACAACATACCTGTTATAGTCTTGCAGAAGTGTTCTATGGTGCTATTCTTTCAAAAATATTTAATAAGTGATTACTTGTGGTCCGGGCAACATACCTATTATAATCTTGCAGAAGTATTCTCCATAGTTGTTGTCTATACTTTAAAAACTATTTAACAAGTCCTTATCAAAGTCTTGTTTTCCAGCCTGCTTAATAGCAGCATCTTTTATCCTTATTTTCAAAAATTCAGGAGAGCAATCTGATTCGTCTAACTACCGTCCCATTAGTCTTCTTCCTATCATAAGCAAGGTTTTTGAATCTTTAATTAACAAACATTAATCTCTCATCTTGAATCTAATAACTTTCTGATCATCAATATGGATTTTGATCTTCTCCTTCTACAGCTGATTTGATAACAGTAATAACAGATAAGTTTTATTGTGCATTAGATAAAGGTGGAGAGGTTAAGGCATTCGCTCTTGACATTTCTAAAGCTTTTGATAAAGTTTGATATGCTGGTCTTCTCCATAAGCTTTCTTCTAATGGTATATCTAGTAACATCTTTAAGAATATTGAATCCTTCTTTTCCAATTGTAGTATGAAAGTTGTCCTCGATGGACAGCACTCTTCTTCATATTCTGTAACAGCAGTTATTCAAGGTTCAATCCTTGGCTCTATACTCTTTTTAATTTACATTAATGATCTTTCAGATATTCTCACATCTAAGGTGGCATTGTTCACTGATGATACAATCATTTATTCTTGTCATGATAAGAAGCTAACACTCTCTGATTGCTTGGAAGGGGTATTTGAGCTTGAAAAGGATCTCACTTCTGCTACAGCATGGGGCTCACAGTGGCTGGTGAACTTTAATTTAGATAAAACTCAATTTTTTTCAGCCAATTGTTGTCGTAGTAATTTAAATCTTCCTATATTTATGAACAGTAATGTACTCGATAAGTCATCTACCTTTCATCAAATAATTTTTTTTAATAAGGTTTTTTAAAAGAAAAACAACAAAATACTAGTTT